CCAACAGTCGGGGGAAATGTTTTAGTTACCTAGGAGGGACAAATGTTCTCTAAAGCTAAAAGGTTTGTAGCTCAGCCCATAATTCATAAATATTCTGTTTACATGAAGTGTTTCTATCTTCTATTCTAAGCCCCAACATGAAGCTAAATTATGTCAACTGGCAAAAGCAACAATAGTGATGCGGTAGTTTGATTCATGTTGACAGCTTTGCCTCATTTTTGCTTTTAGTTTCTCAGCAATATTTACTTTTATTTAAGACAATAAAGAAATCACTAAAGTCAATACAAGAATGCAGTAAGTGGATAAATAATGTGTATTAACTGTTTCTTCAGACTGAGACTGAGACATTTCTTTCAGATAAGCAGACTCAAAGACACTGAGACGAGACTGAGCGCCAGGAGGGACGTGATGTGGGAGTTTAAACTCGGCTGGACAAACTGCCAAATGGACACTGACAGTAGCTGCTGGATCGGTTATCATTCCGAGGACGACGGGGGGATAAAAGCAGCAGGATATGTTTTTATCTGAGCTTTATTTCTACCTCGCAGTCTGTTGCCTTAATGTTTGAGGTTGCTCTTTTTCTGTGTGAGCTGGAGATAAATAATAAGAAATTGAAGAACAAAGGACACAAATATTAACGTTTAAATAAATATAATTTTAAAAGATCACAAAGAGCTGCTATTTGGTACCATCTATAAACCGAGCAGTTGCTTTTATTACACCCTGTCTGTATGTTTCATGCTCCGACCAGAGGAAGTCTTTATCATTATTTTTAACCTAATCTAATCACGACTGAGAGTGGTGGTTTGGGTGCAGGGTGATGACATCACTGAGCTCTCCTCTAAACCTGTCATCTAAAGGAGATTGATGCTCTTGCAGAAGCTGAATTGATCCTGATCGAAGTGCTGCTGCAGCCGTCTACTAAGGCCCATTTCATCAGTATCAGCTGGTTTCCTGCCGATGCACATCCAATCCACAGCTGATCCCAGATCATCCCAACACCTTCTGGTTTTAAAACACTTTCTGATATGTCTTCATTATATCCTGATCATGATGTAAAAAAAATCGTGCTGACGTTTGAAGATATTTATTCTCTAACAGGATGGAACCAGTTTCAAAGGCCGATTACATCACAGTGATGCAGCGAAGGCTGTCCAAATTCCAGTGCTCCCCTAAATGTGGCCCACAAATGCATCCTTCTTTTGCTAATGTTGAAGGACAGGTCTGGTCTCTCCTTTGTGGCCCATCCTTTCCCAAGATTCATTGGGAGATTTTTGGTCTTGTAATAATGGCAGACAAAGCAGGAAGGATTAGGTATATTAATATCTGGTGGAACTAAAGTGGTTGTGTTGTTGGGATTTTGTCATGGTCACATGGTCCTGTCATCATGGTTGCTAGGCGACAAGAGATATGCAAAGGAATTTTACAGCTGTTTACTTTTGAGGTGTTTCTCAATGCCAAGGAACCTCACCTTGATGTCTTGGTTCCGCCCAGGTCGCCTAGGAGAATTAGAACCAGTTCCAACTGTTAGTTTATCCCGGAATCGTTTAAAGATTTTTTTTTTGATTCCTAGTTTCGATTCCTAGAATGCCGACTGGAAGAGGAATCCATGGCCAATCTCCATGAAAAATAAATGTGACATGCAAATTGTGATCAACGCTTTCTAGAGCTAATCACACCAGCTGTCTGTGTGCATCACGAGGCCCCCGTCCCCACACCCGGCACGCAGCGGCCAAATATTGACAAACATGTCTGCCGAACTTTTACTCCGTAATGTAAACTTTAACTCCTGCAGTGTAGAGGAAACTTGTTAAAATACGTCAACACGGTGGATTTAATAGAAGCTTTAAAGAACCAACTCTGGACGGTGTGAAGTGAGTTTGTCTCACTGCAGAAAAACACACACGAAGCGTCAGCATTCAGAAGCAGCCACTCACCAACACTCGTGAGTGTGAGCGTGTGAATGTCAAAAGGCTGAACAATAACCTGTAGAATAATTAAAGTCATCATGCTAGAGAAGCTTTCTCTGTGGTGGACCAGCTTCTGTAACACACTGGTTGTGCTGCAAGTCTTATTCTTTTTTTCTCCAAAACATGTTTTTGTCTAAATGAAGGTGATGTTATTGTTCATAGAATGAAAATTCATGTTGAAGTTAAGATTATTTCATCACATAGGACCTGTGGTTAGCTGGCTCATGTAAAGCGTGTCATGTCTTGAAAGAATCGGAATCGAGAATCGATAGGAACCGGAATCGAAACGAGGAATTGAAATTGGAGTTGTTCAAAATCAAACAATGCCGAACCCTAGTTCCAATGTTCGTGTTCTACCGAGGTGTATGTTCTCCATTTGTTAGCCGTTTAGCTAGCTGAGCAAGGATACAGGGGAGGTGTCTTGTAGCCTAGCCTTGGTCAAAGATTTCCCAGAGTACAGTGCAGTATGTTCAAAAGGATGGCGGATCAGAAGCCGCCAGCTACTTCGGGGGCAAATTTCAAGTTAAAATGTAAGTAAACTAATTTTAGCTATCGGGTTGATATCTGAAATGTGTTTTTTAGATCCAAAGAAGTTATCTATGATTGGTTAGCTGCTTAGTAGTTGCAACTTCAGTGGCTAGCAGGTAATAACTCGCTTATATATTTAATTTAACCAGTATATCGTTATATAATTATACAGAAAATCATACATATAAAAATATAACGTTACATCCCATGTCACATGATGTTACGTGACTGCCACAGACGCCACGGTCACATGATGCAAGTCTGTTCCATTTAACAATTTTCTTTTACCAAGGAAGGACAGTGTCTTCGTAAGCGAGGTGCCATGCCTGTTTCAGAATGAAAAAGATCACCTTGGTCCTTCTCACGCAGAATTGACCTTTAACCCAACCAACGAGCTGGTTTCATGTGTCCATTTTCAGGTGTACTTTTGTGTCAGTGCCAAATGCAAGTCTAGAAAAGTTTCTACCAAATTAATGTTTTTGTGTGGATGAATCTACTTTTAGATTCAATGAGGGTTTATACGAATAAATCGTGTTCATAAAGGCTCAAAATCAGTTTTGATAAAAGGATGAACAACTAAGTCCTTCAGGGGTACTTCTGAATTAAAAAATGCTCATGAAATACGTATGTAGAGTAACCAGGTAGGTAGGTTTTAACGTTGCAAATCTGCAACACCTGCCTCCAGAAGGTTAAAGGGTTCCTCTCCTTTTGTAATAAACACAATGAGAATCTTTTGAATTTCATGTTAATTCGATCCGATGGGAAACCACTACCAGTTGACCTCTGACCTCCACAACCAGGTTCATCTTTTTGAGCTGCCTGTGGTGCTGGTCTCTGCCAAAGCGAGAAGCTAACGCTAACCGATAACATCATCATTTAAATCGAATACGATGGCCTGGTGTGGTTTCCAGCTGTTGCCATGACTCATCATTTAAGTGTGAAACAATCTTTAATAATTAACAGAAACACACAGCAGGGGGGGGTTACTCAGCTGCATCCTCCTCTATGGTTGACTGAGACTACATTTTTTTTCCCCTCGTTTCCTCCAATCACGTGCCTCCTTCTTCTAGGAAGCATGGGGTTGCAGATGAGAGGAGGGGAGGCTAAAAATAGCGTCTCTTCTTTTTCTCCCCCCTACACCAAAAACAGAAAAGCAGCAAGGAGAGCAGGCAGGATGTGGAGGAAGCTTCATGCTGCAGTCTGCAGGTGAATTTAGGACATCTTTGAGTAAAAATAACACTATGCCTCTGTTTGTGAATCACTTTGGGCAGCAAATATTTGGCTTCATCCTGTTGTCCTAAGGTTGCTATCTGAGAATTCTAAAGATATGATTGAGTAATACTCTTCAGAACCTGCCTCTAGTATTTAAAAGTTACTTAAAGCTGAATGCAGAGGTTTCTGGAACAAATTAAGTCTCTACAATATTTATTTATTTCAGACAAAAAAAATTATGTATTTATTAGAACAAATATATATTTAAAAGCAGTGCATGGGTCTGTGGGGACAGTATAGCAGGAATAGTCTTGGACGGCATAATGGATGGATGTGCGTTTTTGTCACGTGACACATCAGCGACGTCACTCATGCCTGCAGGTCAAACAGCCAGTGAGTTTACTGTCGGCACAGGACGTACAGATGAGTCCTGGCCACTTCCAGACCAGATTCAGACTCATTCAAACACACCAACGTGTCTTAGGAGGCTACAAGGATGAGAAGAGACACTAGAGGGGTCTGTTCTAACATTTACCCAACCTGCTTCTGATTCAACCACTACATTATTATACAGCTTTAATTATGCATAAAACCTCAAATAAAGCATAGGAGCCAGTCTATCCTCTGTAGCATATAGAAATCTGAATGTTTTACATTATTTCCAGTTCTCTGCTCTTTGGGACTCCCAGTAGGCTACACAAATTTAATAATAATAGAAAATAAATGTGAGATCTGACTAATTGTTGTACCTCATCTCAGGAAAATCCCTTTGGCTCAATGAAAAGAGGATTTTACTAATTATGTTTTAACATTTGGACATTTATGAAATAGCCTAGTAAAAATTTGATAATAACTATCAACAAATAGGCTATTATCAAAATATGAATGCATATGTGTAAGTATAGCTCCCCGTTTGTTTGGTGTAGTTTTAGCCCAATTGTTCATTTATTTTTTTATTTATTCCTGCTGTCTCCGGCTCGTGTGGACCTTTTTTTAGCCATCGGACCGGTGTGAAACGCCTTTTTCTGCAGGGCTGAACGGAATCGTAAAGGACCGTCCACTGAAGCAGCAGCATCCGTCATTCATGTACAGATAATACCGAGCATTTGTACGGATAACATCGCTTTTTACATAAGAAACAGCTGTTAGAGAAGCAAACGATCCATGTGGGCTCGAATCTGAAATGTTTTACTCGAAATTGATATTTAACTGGAAAAAAGCAGAAAGGATCCGATTTTGTGCATTTAAATAGAAATAACAATGAACCTATGATGAAGAAATAAAACGTACCTTTGCAGGTTTGTCTCCGGCTGCTATCCACCGCGTTCAGCACCCGCAGAAACACTGACACTGTCAAGTCAGCAAGGTGAGCAACGTAACATCCGGTTTATGATTTCAAAATAAAAGTTCCATGGCAGTTGCAATTGTGGAGCTCAGCTCAGAGCCCTAAAATGTATAAATTTGACTTTTCTACTTGCAGGTTACATATACTTTCCCTTCCCAATTCATGGTGTAACACTACGTATAGTTGGACAGAGGGATGTCATTGTAGACTTTTCATTAAATAGTATTTCTCGATGGTCAGAGAAAAAATAAACATTAAATCTGATCACTTTCTTTTTTCTGATTGAATAGTTTTGAATTATTAGCCTATAGGACAAGGCTGGCTCCAATAATGCTCTAATTTGTGTGAAATTCATTAGCACTGCCTATAAAATGATCAGTAATATATTGCAGCATCTGTCATTTCAATTTGTGTAATAAACCTAGTTTAAATGGTTGCAAAATAAATTACACAAACCAATGAAACAATATGTTTTTGTTTAGTTAAAGAGCAAGTCACCCCCAAATAAAGGTTTTTATTTTTTTGCTGATTACTATTTAAATGAGTGTCTAACCGTGCAGTAAACACGAGTAGTCAATAATTTGGCACTTTAGTGCATTTTAGTTAAAATTTAAATATTCTGCCATCTACAGGTAAAAACTCTGCACTGCATTTGAATTAAAATCATCACTATTGGCTAAGAGGTACACGCTGATGTTAGCTGGTACATTATGATGTCACAATGTCGTTGTGAGCCTGTTTGTTTGCGGCTCTGTCCTCTAAGTCTGCCAGGCAACAGCATTTGTTGCATTTTTCAAACAGGAAATGGGAGTGGAGTAAGGGCCATGATATAGGGAGCCTAAGTCACACCCATTTACTTCTAGACCATGGGACTCCGGTAAACAAAAAAATGAATGCAAGTCAATGGGGCTAAAAACACTAATTCCACTTATGTTCCACGGATTTTACATACAATGTCCGTGAATTTTAACCCTTTGATGCATGAATTATGAAATCTTCAACCATGATTTTTTAAACAATTTTTTCATGCGTCTTTAGGTGTGAATGAAACAAATTTTAACAAGTATTTTTTGTAAAATTTTATAATTTACAAATAATTTATTACATGTCCACTTCAGTGGACAGCGTGCATTCTGAGCATGAAATATGTTGGCTTGGCTTTCTGAAGTCCAAATGGAGGGGCTCAAATGCAATAAAGTCTTCAACAGCTGTGCTTAATAGCAAAAACTAATAAATAACCATTTTGAGTACCTGTCCACTGTAGTGACCATTATGCATCTAAGGGTTAAAGACACATTTTGATACCAAGAACGCACTTATTTTTGAACAGGGGGGTGTTATTTTAGGTTTTGTCTGAAAATAAGTCCAGGATTACAAATGCGCTTCACAAAAGTGACGTCATCAAACCAGACACGGAGAAAACTGAGGGAAAAGGGCTGCAAGTTCAGCAAACTCCCCATAGAAGGAAAGAACCACCATAAATCTGGCCACGTGGTAACTACGTTAGGGAAGAGGAGATTATGTGGTGACGTCACATTTGCATGGAGTGTAGTCATGCTAATTACGAACTTTTACAAGCTGAAAAATCTCAAAGTACGTGACTGGTGTGGTCGAAACACCGGTCATTAGTTTCATTTAAATAGCAGTACAACATGTGCGATCCAGGGTCTAAGGCAAAGTGGATTAGAAAATAGCTCTTTTAGCCCCATTGATTTGCATAAATTTTTTCCTTCTTCTGGAAGGAATATTTACATTTAATATTTTATTGTATTGAAACAACTGAAGCTACGCCTGAAGTATCTTTAGAAAGACTGATTTTTGCTGCTTCATACAGCTTTGGTCATGTTCAATAAACACGAAGCAGAATTTTAATACTCAAGATTGGCAAATGGTGTTTTCGTCTACTTTCACAAAACTATTATTTTGAAAGCAACAAACTGTTTCCGCTAATTTTTCTGTGCCACCGCGATCTTAACAAGGCCTTTGTGGAACTGACAGGTGGGCGGGACTTTAGAGTACGTAACTTATTGACAAATTGTTTAACGAATCCGGAGCAGGAACAGGCGTCCTGAAAGGTTCCACCTCAAATAATGACCCAGTCGTGTATTATTGATGAGCGCTGCCGGAGAGACTGAATTATTGATCAGGAGGTCAGCAGTAACCATTGCTGCCATTTCTGCAAAAGCAGACGTCGGCTTTATGATATTATAAAAATAGTCCCTGCAGTAGAGTCATTTACAAAGAAATACTCGAGAAAATTTTGTGTATAGAAAAGGTTCCAAATGACAGGGACGTCAGGAGATCTCCTAAATCAATATCAGGAAACACAGAACATTTTTACCGAGTTAGCGCAAGAGCAAGAACACATTAAATTAGCACAAGTTTAGACAAAAACGTGTCTAGTTAATGGCTTTATTAGCTCGTGCCCTTATTATGCAACTTTATTAGAAACTAGAAATTAAAAATTCTTAAATATTTGAGGCAAAGGTTCTCTTTTGGATTACATTTGGATGCATTTATTTTTGGTATCAGTTTACGTCTAAAGAAATGTAACAGTAAGAGCAAGGCCTTGGCTACATCAAAGTGCTATAACAAAAAGAAATGGCCTTAATACATTCATCTAAAAGAGGTAATAAACTCATCTCATAGTACAGATGGATCATGTGGGGCTCTACTTTACTTCAATGAGTCAGTGAGTCTCTAGTAGCACCTTATAGGTCTTAACACCCGCATATCAGCCCCCAAGATATTACATGAAGTGAATCTGACCAACCAGCATTAATGTGGGGAATGAATCACAGAATCGGATCACTTCAAAAATAGATATGAAATATAAATGCTAAAGCTAAAAGTCCATATAAAAGCTCAGTCTGTGCAGGTTGTGCTTCCAAAACAGGGCAGGGAGACCAGTTAAAGTCTGGGGGGGGGGGGGGGGGGGGGTTGAATTGTCTTCTCCAAACCAACATGTATGAAGCCAGGTAGTGACACGGGCATGTAAATCTGGTATTGCACAGTTATTGTGTTCCAGGATAATGCCAGTACAGCTTAAACTGAGGAGTTATACACTCTTACTGCAGAGAGGATGAATGACCTACGGTAGCATTCTTCGTCTTCGTCTTCGTCTTCGTCTTCCTCCGCTTATCCGGGTCCGGGTCACGGGGGCAGCATCCCCATTAGGGAGCTCCAGGCCGTCCTCTCCCCGGCCTTGTCCACCAGCTCCTCCGGCAGGACCCCAAGGCGTTCCCGGACCAGATTGGAGATGTAACCTCTCCAACGTGTCCTGGGTCGACCCGGGGGCCTTCTGCCGGCAGGACATGCCCGAAACACCTCCCCGGGGAGGCGTCCAGGAGGCATCCTGACCAGATGCCCAAACCACCTCAACTGGCTCCTTTCGATCCGGAGGAGCAGCGGTTCTACTCCGAGTCCCTCCCGAATGTCCGAGCTCCTCACCCTATCTCTAAGGCTGAGCCCGGCCACCCTACGGAGGAAACTCATTTCGGCCGCTTGTATCCGCGATCTCGTTCTTTCGGTCATTACCCAAAGCTCATGACCATAGGTGAGGATTGGGACGTAGATCGACCGGTAAATTGAGAGCCTGGCTTTCTGGCTCAGCTCCCTCTTCCCCACGACAGATCGGCTCAGCGTCCGCATCACTGCAGACGCCGAACCAATCCGCCTGTCGATCTCCCGATCCCTCCTACCCTCACTCGTGAACAAAGACCCCGAGATACTTAAACTCCTCCACTTGAGGTAGGATCTCTCCCCCGACCCGGAGGTGGCAAGCCACCCTTTTCCGGTCGAGAACCATGGTCTCAGATTTGGAGGTGCTGATCCTCATCCCAGCCGCTTCACATTCGGCCGCGAACCTACCCAGCAAGAGCTGAAGGTCAGAGCTGGATGAAGCTAGGAGGACCACATCATCCGCAAAAAGCAGAGACGAGATTCTCCTGCCACCAAACTCGACACACTCCACACCACGGCTGCGTCTAGAAATTCTGTCCATAAAAGTGATGAACAGAACCGGTGACAAAGGGCAGCCCTGGCGGAGTCCAACCCTCACTGGGAACAGGTCCGACTTACTACCGGCTATGCGGACCAAACTCACGCTCCTCTGGTAAAGGGACTGAATGGTCCTTAACAGAAAGCCACCCACCCCATACTCCTGGAGCGTCCCCCACAGGGTGCCCCTGGGGACACGGTCATAAGCCTTCTCCAAATCCACAAAGCACATGTGGATTGGTTGGGCAAACTCCCATGCCCCCTCCATCACCCTTGCAAGGGTATAGAGCTGGTCCACAGTTCCACGGCCAGGACGAAAACCACATTGCTCCTCCTCTATCTGAGATTCAACTATCGATCGGACCCTCCTCTCCAGTACCTTGGCGTAGACCTTTCCAGGGAGGCTGAGGAGTGTGATCCCCCTATAGTTGGAACACACCCTCAGGTCACCCTTCTTAAAGATGGGGACCACCAACCCGGTCTGCCACTCCCCAGGAACTGCCCCCGATGACCACGCAATGTTGTAGCGACGTGTCAACCATGACAGCCCTACAACATCCATAGCCTTGAGATACCCAGGACGAACCTCATCCGCCCCCGGGGCTCCGCCGCTGTGTAGTTGTTTGACTACCTCAGCAACTTCTGCCCCCGAGATCGGACATTCCATCCCCAGGCCTCCCAGCTCTGGTTCCTCCTCGGAATGCGCATTGGTGGGATTGAGGAGCTCCTCAAAGTATTCCTTCCACCGTCCGACTATAGCCTCAGTTGACGTCAGCAGCTCCCCATCCCCACTGTAAACAGTGTGAGCGAGTTGCTGCCTTCCTCTCCTGAGGCGCCGGACAGTTTGCCAGAACCTCTTTGGAGCCGATCGATAGTCTTTCTCCATGGCCTCACCAAACTCCTCCCACGCCCGAGATTTTGCCTCGGCAACTGCCACTGCTGCACCCCGCTTGGCTATCCGGTACCTGTCTGCTGCCTCCGGAGACCCACAGACCAGCCACGCCCTGTAGGCCTCCTTCTTCAGCCTGACGGCTCCCCGAACCTCTGGTGTCCACCAGCGGGTACGGGGGTTGCCACCACGACTGGCACCGGCCACCTTACGACCACAGCTAGCAACAGCCGCCTCGACAATCGCAGAGTGGAACAAGGCCCACTCGGACTCAATGTCCCCCACTGCTCTCGGGACGTGGTCAAAGCTCTGCCGGAGGTGGGAGTTGAAGACCGTCTTGACAGGTTCTTCTGCCAGGCGTTCCCAGCAGACCCTCACTATGTGTTTGGGTCTGCCAGGTCTACGCGGCATGTTCCCTTGCCATCTGATCCAACTCACCACCAGGTGGTGATCAGTTGACAGCTCCGCCCCTCTCTTCACTCGGGTGTCCAAAACATACGGCCGCAGGTCAGATGATACGACTACAAAATCTATCATCGACCTGTGACCTAGGCTGCCCTGGTACCAAGTGTACCGGTGGGCATCCTTATGTTCGAACATGGTGTTCGTTATGGCCAAACTGCGGCTTGCACAGAAGTCCAATAACAAAACACCGCTCGAGTTCAGATTAGGTGGGCCGTTCCTCCCAATCACACCCCTCCAGGTCAAGCTGTCATTGCCCACGTGAGCATTGAAGTCCCCCAGCAGGACAATGGAGTCCCCTGATGGAGCACTATCTAGCACTCGTCCCAGGGACTCCAAAAAGGGTGGGTACTCTGAACTGATATTTGGCCCAGAAGCACAAACAACAGTCAGGACCCGTTACCCGACCCGAAGGCGCAAGGAAGCTACCATCTTGACCCCCGGGGTAAACCCCAACACACAGGCAGAGAGTCTCGGGGCTAACAAAAAGCCAACCCAAGCCATCCACCTCTCAACCGGAGCAAGTCCAGCAAAGTAGAGTGTCCAACCCCTCTCCAGGTCTCGGGTTCCAGAGCCAATGCAATGTGTCGAGGTGAGTCCGACTATATCTAGCCGGTACCGCTCAACCTCTGCCACAAGCTCCGGCTCCTTCCCCGCCAGCGAGGTGACGTTCCATGTCCCAAAAACTAGTTTTCTTGTCCGGGGATTGGACCGCCAAGGCTCCCGCCTTGGTCTGCCAGCCGATTCGCATTGCACCGGACCCCTCATGTTCCTCCTGCGGGTGGTGGGTCCACAGTTGGACGAGCCCATGTATCCGGTTCGGGCTGGGCCCGGCCGGGCCCCATGGGCGAAAGCCCGGCCACCAGGCGCTCGCTCACGGGCCCCAACCCCAGGCCTGGCTCCAGGGTGGGACCCCGGTAACCCTCCGGGCCGGGTACTCCGACTCTTCGTTTTAACCGCCATGAAAGATCCTTCGAACCGTTCTTTGTCTCACCCTTCACCTAAGACCAATTTGTCATGGGAGACCCTACCAGGGGCACTAAGTGCCCCAGACAACATAGCTCCTAGGATCATTAGGGCACTCAAACTCCTCCACCACGATAAGGTGACGGTTCAAGGAGAAGCATTCTGTGAAACATTTGTCTCAGTCTGCCTCTGAAGGAGCTGTCCATGGTCTCTCCACAGTGGAATGCAGTGGGTGGGAGGGTTATTTTAAGATGGAGTTCCCCAGCATCCTCCTTTCCCACCTCTCCTCAACTGAATTCAGTGGGCAGCTCAGAACCGAGCTAGCTTTGTGAACTAGCTTGTTCAGTCTCTTCCTGTCTCGGTCAGAGCTGCCTGCACCCCAACAGACCACAGCAGAGTGGATGCCAGAGCCAACCACACAATTACAAAAGGATTTTAGCAGATGGGAATTGACTCAGAAGGACCTCAGCCTCCTCAGTAGGTGGAGGCAGCTTTGGCTCTTCTTATACAGAACATCAGTGTTGTTGGACCAGTTTACTGTTGACGTGAACACCCAGGTACTTAAAGGTATCCACCACCTCAATGTCTGCTCCCTGTATATTTACCGGTGAGTGAGGAGGAGTGTTTCTCTGGAAGTCAATCACCATTTCCTTTGTCTTACTGGAGTTCAAGTGAAGGTGGTTACGCTCACACCAGTCAACAAAGTCCATGATGACTGACCTGTACTCCTGGTCATTCTCCTCAGACACACAGCCAACAACGGCTGAGTCATCAGAGAACTTCTGGAGGTGACAGCTGCTAGTGTTAAAGGTGAAGTCTGAGGTGTAGAAGGTGAAGAGAAAGGGTGAGAGCACCGTGCCCTGTGGAGCTCCAGTAATGCACACAACCACCTCAGATGTACAGCTGTGCAGTACGTACTGTGGCCTGTTGGTGAGGTAGCTGATGGTCAGCAGTGTAGTTGATGATGTATTAGACACAGCTGGATGGTGTTGAGGGCACTTGAAAAGTCGAAGAACACGATTCTCACAGTGCTCTTTTGCATCTCAAGGTGAGTCAGAGCCCGGTGCTGCAGGTATGAGCGCATCCTCTGACCCCATGTTTGGTTTATATGCAAACTGCAATGGGTCTATTTCCGGGCTCACCACTGAACGTAGATGGGTGAGGATGAGTCACTCCATAGTCTTCAGAAGATGGGAGGTCAAGACGACTGGTCTGTAGTGGTCTGGTATCCTGGGATGTGATGTTTAAGGAACTGGATCCACGCAGGAGGTCTTCCACAGGATGGGGACCTGCTCCAGCTGAAGGCTCAGGTTGAAAATGTGCAAGCAGATCCTCATCTTATGCTGTTAAAACTGATTTGGAGTTTAAAACACTAGAACCTGGGGTCCATGGCTGTTGGAGGAGAAAATATCAATAAGATAATAGAATTTTGCAATAAAGCAAATATAATACTGACACACAAAATGTTATTCTTGTAAAAATACTTTGGATGGAGATCTAACTCTAATAAAGGCCTGGTACCTATATATCCCATTTAAGTCCTTAACATTATGCATCTGTTTGTGTATAAACATTGAGATGAAACTTGTGTTCTTTATCTGTTAATGTGAATCTTGTTTACATATTTTACCCCAACCTATTCTCATGCAACACTGCAATATAGCTTGTTTATCATAAACAAAAGGAAGAGAAAGGTAAACTTCACATTTCAATGTTAAATGCAGCACATACATAGATAAAAATATGAAACCCATATGAAATGTTATCTTAATGTGAAGGATCAGTAGTGCTGCTATACACCACAGCACTAAATAATATTGTAACAGACTAAACTATGACATAAAATATGCAATTTGGTAAAACACTTGAAGCGTACAGAATTTAAACAAATAGTAAACGGCTTTTTATTGATCTAACCTTGCAGTAGCTCTTTTATTTTTTTTCCCTTGAACTGGAATAAGGACGTGTTCTCCCTCCACACCAGCAGGTGGCGCAAAGACATTCATCGCAATCTCGTTCATCCATTTTCTCAGGACAATTTCTACCTCCGGTCGGCGAGAACTCCCTCTGATTGTTTCAGTTGCACACACGTTGCTGTTAATTTGAGCGAAACAGAACAGAAACGTGTAAATTTATTCCCGACTGTTCAAGAGAAGGCGAAGGGAAACGCTTGTTTGCTGGTAAACCGACTTCGACACAACACCGACTCAGGTTCTCATTGAATTTTTTGTCGCGTTTACCGAGCTAAATGTGACTAAGTATGAGGTCTATAACGCTAGTACTGCACATCGTTAGAGAAAGTGACTTTTGTTATTTAGGTCTTATATTTAAGAGATGGCATTGGTTAGAGCTTTCTAAAACCCTTCAGACAGGCGGATTTACAGCTGGACTTTGGATCTGACCCCATAAATAATGAGACCTCAAGATCAGAAGTGCTTTTAGGATTTAAAACAGTCAGAAGTTTCATACGGTGCAGACTGCTGAGGTGACAGATGACTTTACAACAAGAGATCAAAAGAAAATGAATGCAAAATGAGTCTTTTAACGTTACGGGATCGTTTTCATTATCAGTAAATCAGTCTCAGTGATAAGGATAAACACTTAGAGCTGCAACAGTAATTATTTTAGTTTTCTTAGTGTTAGAACTCTAGACCCTTTTAAATGAACGCCACCTCCTCGTTTTTATCATTGTGATGTTTAAAAAGCAACTCATATATTTAGAATGAAATTTTTTAATTTAAATTTACAATTTAAAAATTGTTTGTTTCATTAAATAAATCAGATAATTTGGACAAATACATCTTCTATCGCTGTATTTTGTTTGGGTGAATTTACATCCCTGTAGGATTCTTTTGTGTTTTTATGTCAACACATAAATATAAAATTTCAGATCTATGGTAGTATCACCAGCACCGACTGACTGCATGTGTGTTCTTCCGCAGATTCTTTCCTCCACAGATGACAGTGTTCTCTCTGCTCTCAGAACATCATGCTTCCCCGGGCGGGTAAAGACTTTCTGGTCCGCATAAGGTTCTCCTGGAGGCCGCTGTTCCAGGGCCGGTACCTGCTGGTCACCAACACCCTGAGCGGAGGAATCATGCTGTCTCTGGGAGATATCCTGCAGCAGACTCGGGAGAAGCGCAGGGAGCCGGGCCGGGTGAGGGACTGGGGGAGGACAGGTGAGCAAGTGTTGCTCAGTGTCACTAAGAAGTGTCTTTGCAGGTCCAACAGAATGTGTTTTTGAACAAATGCAGCATCTGCATCGGATGATTTGTGTAGTGTGTTTTCTCACTTATTCTCTCCTTTTCTTTATGTTCCACCCTAAAGGTCGGATGTTTATTGTCGGCTCCTCCATGGGTCCTCTACTGCACTACTGGTATCTTTGGCTGGACAGAGTTTATGTGGGCAAAGCTCTGAAGACACTGAGTAAGAAGGTTCTGGTGGACCAGCTGGTCGCCTCACCGACTCTTGGAATATGGTATTTCTTAGGTGAGAGGATGTTTGTTGGCAACGAGCAGGCTGACTTTCCCTCCACCTCTGTGTATATGTACACACACACACACACACACACACACACACACACACACACACACCTCAACATTTGTCTGGGTGTGAGCAAAGAAACAATATTCTAATGATACGTGAAAGAAAACATGCACCGAGTCAAAGGTGGTGAGGTAAAACAAAACCTTGTGTATCAGAAGTATATGAAGATCAAAGGGCACCTGAGATAAAAAGTTTGGATGTTAGTGACGTCCTTAGTCTTGTTTGTAAAAGTTCATTGATCTTTGTGTTACTGACTTTATCTCAGGAGGATTTTATTGTTGCTTGGAACTGACACACATCTAACAGACAGCCTTACTGTTGAATACAGGCATGGATCTCTTGGAGGGACGCACTTTATCTGAAGGATGGGTGGAGTTTAGAGAAAAGTTCTGGGAATTTTATAAGGTAAGAAACCTGCCAAGTCCTCAACACACTCACGCGCACACATGCAGGCACACGCATGCACACACACACGTGCATACACTCACACATGTGCACACACACACAAAAACAAACATGCACAGACATACACTCACACATGCACAAACATGCACGCACGTGCGGATGGCCTCACACACATACACACACACACATACACACTCACACATCCAGATGCACACACACACACATACTACCGGATTAAAACATTCTTGTCTTCTAGATAAATATGTTTAGTTTACACAGAAAAACTCCTTTCCAGAAAACATTTTTCACTTTTCAGTCATTTGCATGTTGTTTTACTAACATGAGTGTTGATATTTACAGTTCTAGGAGATTAAATGGCAGCTGTTCAGTAAAAAGTTTCCAAATTCACGCAGCATGAGTGTGTTTATATTTTTATGTATTAATCGTAATTTCCTTCTGTTCCCCAGCTGTACGCACCGAAATAGAAATCAAAAACTGCCTCAAATCTAATGTAACTGTTTCTATTGGGGTAGATTTCATTTGCCTATAAATAAGCATGTTGGTCATGGTTCAGTAGAAATAATAATTGTCCCAGCAAAAAAGAAACTCTTAAAAAGGTCAAAACCCACTTTTGGACATCCATTAAAGGAGAAACGAAGGGAGCAATTCCTTGGGAATTACTTTAAATCCGTGGGGAGATCTGGGAGATTATCTGACATCTGGGAAGACACCAGTCAGTCACGCAAGTTTACTCCATCAGACGTGAATCATCAGTTAGTTCAAGCTCCATGAAACGCGTCACGTCTTCAGCGTGAACAAAATGAGCGTACAGGAATTTTCTGACTTTCTAATAATTTATAGAAAGCTGAACTGTAGTTGTTTATAGGTTGGACGGATGATTCTGGGCTAAAGCATGTTTAGGTTTCACTTCATCTTTATCGTTCCAGCTCCTCCGTTCACTTCCTGTTGTAAATGCTACGTCTCGGCGCTCATCTGTTTAAACTCTTCTCTTATTGATTAGCTGATTAGTTAGAGATGATCGAGTTCTGACAGCTGAATTCTGAGACAAACCATACTAAAAATGGAGAAAGATCAGATATTTTGGAACAATTTTAAATAAAAAAAACTTCTTTTATACTACCCCCTAAAGTAATTAAGCAAAAACCCTAAAACCCGAGTGTTCCTTAATAAATTCTTCTGAGTCAGATTTAGCAAACACAAATCTTTGGATTCAGGGTATCGGGTGGCGGTTTCTGGCTGCGATGCTCATGACTTAAGATCGGGTTTCTGTTCGCCCAGCTCACTGCAGAAGTGGCTGAGGTTTCCTTTGTGTAATCAGTGTGTTTACGCTCACCTGTGCAGATGGACTGGTGTGTCTGGCCTGCTGCTCAGATGATCAACTTCTACTTCCTGTCACCTAAATTCCGAGTGGTGTACATCAACTTTATCACCTTAGGGTGGGACACCTACCTCTCCTATCTCAAACACAGGGTAAGTCTGGCTGTGAGAGTAAACAAATGAATGGGTGGAGTATAAAAATGTAATGTTTGTGCTGAAAAAAAGAAGCCAAATCAGTGATGTTCTCGGTTTCTTCTGACAGGATGAATTCCGGCAGTCTGAAGTGGCATCGGACAGCAGCCTTGTGGATTCATAGCAGAGAAAACTCCCAACGTGTCCACCTCTGGGTGAAGAAACCTAAAGTTCATCATCATTTAAGAAGATAATCAAAGACAAGAAAACACATTCATCTGTTTTTATATTCACAGACTTTAATTGCTCCATTTCAAATGGGTTTAAAACCTGTTTAATATAAAGTGACAATGCACTTTTTTCCTTCAGGCCTGAATGGTTTGATGGCATCATTTTAGTTGTGTGTTTATGTCTGACATTCACTCCTGCTGGAGCATTCAGGGATGCAGTATGCCGTTTTCACCCTAAAATTCCTGTTCCTGATCCCTCTGTGAAGTCTATCTGTAAACTGACTAGTTTAATCATTAACATTTGTGTTTTTTAAGAATGAGAGGGGATGTAGAACAGTTTTAATATCAGGCTGAGTTAACCTGTGTAAACTTTGCTTTAATATGTGGTCTGGTACCACGCCTGTTATTGTGCCAGATAACCTGTGCGGACCTCTGAGGACATCAAAGGATGCATGTGGTGATTATAGCTGAATATAAAATGTCTGTTTCATAATTTTAAAATGAATCAGATGTAAATGTGAACCTGGATCAAATGAAGGTTATTAATCGTGCTGCAGTTTGACTCAGAAACCAAATCTAACATGTTTGTTTTCTTCTGATTTTGGCTTTTTTTTTTAATCGGTTTTTATGAGGTGCGATGTGAGGCACTCTGTAATTAATACCGATTTATTATAAAATCAGAAGACAAGTTCTGTCATCAGATAAAATTACTCATGGAAAGAGACATTAGTTTTTAAAAGGATTACTAAAAATTTTTTTATAGAGTTTTGTTTATTTTTTTAAATATGTCAAAAATCTAATTTTGTAGCATAAACTTGTGATAGTTACTTTTTGCTACAATTGTTTTGTCATATTTATGAATCCTATTTTAAATGGAAAATGTTAATTGATTTATTGCATTTTAAGATGAGTGTTAATAAATCAGAAACAAGTAATTACAATAATAAAATAGTATTGAGTCTTAAATGAGTGGATAATTGAGATTAGTGCATTTAAACCTAATATAACTAACCAGATTTTTTGCAAATGTGCATTTTTAAAAATGCTCTACAAAAAAGACACACACATATATATATCCATTTTCTGTCCATCGCAGGGCAACACAGAGACACACAGGACAAATAATTATGCACACACACCTAAGGACAATTTAGACAGACCAATCAACCTAACAGTCATGTTTTTGGACGGTGGGAGGAAGCCGGAGTACCCGGAGAGAACCCACGCATGCACAAGGAGGACATGCAAACTCCATACAGAAAGATCCCAGGCCGGGAAGCGAACCCAGGACCTTCTTGCTGTAAGGCAACAGCTCTAACCACCGTACAGCCGTGTGTGTGTGTGTATATATATATATATATATATATATATATATATATATATTTGTGTGTGTGTGTATGTGTGTCTTTTTGTCTAACATTTTTTAAAAACTGCACATTTGTAACAAATTGGATATATATATATTTATATATATCAGATTTGTGTGTATGTAGCTAGAATAAGATTAGCATAAAATGTTGTTTATGCAAGATGTTGCAAAAGTATAAAAATCTGCATTTGTTGCAGGAAGAGCATCAGTAAAATTTTTGATCACAGACATCGTTTAAGTGGACCACTGTAAAGGAGAGGAGGAAGAATGAACACCCAGGGAGTAAACAAGGGGTGAACAGGTGAGTGTTGATTGGCAAACAGAAAACAGGTGTGAGTGAGCAGAACTGAGCCAAGGAGTGTGAAAACAAAAGCAGTGATGACAGCAAAACCATCAGGAATCACGCAGAGAGCATCAATACTTTAATCTGTGGAAACCTTCTCAGAGGTGAAAACTGATCTCTAGTTGTCGTCAGCTAAGCAAACACTCGCGACTCTGTTCAAATATTTGACTGGCCTACAGGATTTGACACGGAGCAGCTCATGTTTATGGCCCTCCTCTTCCTCAAGCGTTGAACACATCCTTCTGACAAGGGTGTGTGTGTGTGTGTGTGTGTGTGTGTGTGTGTGTGTGTGTGTGTGTGTGTGTGTGTGTGTGTGTGTGTGTGTGTGTGTGTGTGTGTGTGTGTGTGTGTGTGTGTGTGTGTGTGTGTGTGTGTGTGTGTGTTCCTGATATGACTGACAGATGTTTCCTCTCAACATGACCGCAGTGATGCAGCTCCTGTTTTCCCTCCTGACAGTAGCCGTCTGCAGCGGTGAGTAAGCTTCACTTCTTCATCTGCTAAATTAATGTGTTCAGTGTTGTGAACATCTTATGTTAGTCCTGTAAAGATGCAAATTCATGCAAATAGGAAGTGCCCCACAGTCAGAAGCAGGATCAGCGTGCTAACATGGAGTGTTTCTTAGAGCTGGGGCCTAAAAAAAGATCTAAAAAAAAAAAAAAAAGGATTTTTTATGGTCAATATTTGGTCAAAGCTGACATTTATCCCTGCAGTGTTGATTGGCTTTAAATGTGTGTCCTTATGAAACCCTACGGCGAAGTCTAGTCTGCAGGTCGATGGGGAGCAGAGCAAAGGTTTGGATGGTGGTGGAAAACGGTGTTACCCTACCTAAATACTGGAATGATTTCTGAGCAGAGAGATTATTTGAAGACTCAAAACAGCTGTTTAATTAATAAAAAGGTGGACTTCTCCCTCCAGGGTGGGGCTGAGGTGGGTTTTTAGCATCTTCACCATGAGACTTTGTATGATAGCATGAGCTGGGCTGGTTAGGGGTGTTTCTGAGGTGGGTGAAGGATGAGCTGAGCCACAGGTTTCCAATGTAATGTCCTCCTTCGTTCCAGTCCACATGTGTAGTCTCAAGGTTTGATAACTGACCCAAAGAAAAAGATCAAAAATAGCTGTGGCTGTAATGAGCTTCTTCTGTAGGGTGGTCTGAAGATGAGGTGAAGAGCTCCATCATCTGGTGAGAACATGGAGTCTGTTCAGGAGTTTTGGTATCTGAGGTTTCTCGGTGTCTTCCCTCTAGAGGTATTCCTGGCATGTTCCAGCAGAGAGAAAATTCTCTCAGCTCCAGGAAAGCCTCGGAATTACTTGAGGAGGTGGAGTGTGTTGCTGAGGAGAGAGGTGTGTGGGCTTCTCTTCTTCACTCCTGTGCCCCAGACAAGCTGGTTCTTCTTTGTAGGAACCCAGCAGCTTAGATGCAATATAGGCGTATTGCTGCCTTCGCAACATCACACGTTGCGGCTACGCCTACCCACTATATCCTGTCATATGCACCCACAGTACGCAAGTAGTCCAACAGCTTCACACGTCGTTTATCCCGAGCTTCCAACAACGTCCGGAGACTGAATACTTCCATCCCACACTGCCCCAACCATGTGACCTTTGACCCAGCTCTCACCCTGGATTCTCATGTCAGTTCTCTTGTTCGCTCTTCCTTCTTCCATCTCAGGAACATTGCTAAGCTGAGTCCCATTCTGTCCCACTCTGAACTTGAGACTGTTATCCACACCTTCATCTCCTCACGCTTAAGCTTGGTTTATGCTTGATGCATTCACTTTCCGCGCGGTGATGCGGCTCGCGGAAGGAACGCGCTTCACAACTCGCAGTGTTTATGGTTCGTGCGGCTCGTCTCTGCGGTGAGCCAATATTCTCCCAAACTGAACGGGGCAGCATGGAGCTCTACAGCAAGCATCCAACACTACACCATAGTAGAAGTAGAAATGACTGTTTACAACATGGCATTCCAGCATTTTTAACAGCGTTCTCGTCTTTTCCGACAGTGCAAGCTTTTCTCCAAGAATTATTTACAACATGTTGATCACGGTGATCTTTGAGAGCTGAATCATTCAAATGTCTGTATTTACGAACCTCTGCTGTACTAGTTCTTGCCAGTCCGCCATGTTTTTCTGCATCCGTCCGTCCGCGTGGTTAGAAATTTTCCGAGGTGCACGTTGCGGAAATTCTGGGCCGTGCGGAGGCGCGGTGGAGGGGCGTGGTTGTTAAAATGACGCAACTTTTCCGCACGGCATAAACCAGCCTTTAGACTACTGCAACTCTCTTTTCACGTGTCTGAGCAGAACCTCCCTGAACCGTCTACAGGTGGTTCAGAATGCCTGTGCTCGGCTTCTGACCAAGTCCTCCAAACACACCCACATCACCCCGCTTCTCCTCCAGCTTCACTGGCTGCCAGTCAACTTCAGGGTTCATTTCAAGATCCTGGTTCTGGTCTATAGAGCCTTACATGGGCAAGCACCATCTTACATTGGTGATCTTCTCAGTCCCTACACCCCCAGCAAGTCTCTGAGGTCCAGTGACCAAAGCCTACTGGTTGTGCAGCACCAGGCTAAAGACCAAAGGTGACAGATCATTTGCTGCTGTGGCCCCCAGATTCTGGATCTCTCTCCCCCTGAGCCTGAGGTCAGTGGACTCAGTGGTCTCCTTTGAAAAAGCAGCTGAAACTCACCTGTTCAAGCTGGCTTTGGTGTGACCTTCATCACTACTCTCTCCTTGTTCTGCTCTTTCTATTAATTCTGCCCTTACACTACTTCCCATTTTTCCTATTCATTTTCTCTCTCCCTTTCCTTACATGAGATTTTCTCACAAATTTTACCTTTTTTCTCTCATTTTCAACATTTAAATCTATAATTTTTATTTATTTATTTATTATATTTGAAATTATTTATGTATTTTTTGTTTTAGTGTCATGATTTATTTTTATTTATTTTTTATCTTTAGAGGTGCTATATATATTTTTTGGAACAGTTCCCTCCATGACCTGATCTTTGAAGAGTAGAAGAAAGTGGACAGCTGGAGACTGAACTATGGCCTTTTTAGCTGAACTTAACAAGTGAAATGATGAGCTGTTGGGTGACCGTGGCTCAGGGGTTAGGAGTTTGCCCTGTAATTGGTGGGGTTCTGGTTTGGGTTGAACCCAGCTTCTTGCATGTCAGCCATTGTGTCCTTGAGCAAAACTCTCCTTGCCTACTGGTGGTGCCTGTGTTCAGCTGCTTTGCTTTTGTCTCACAGGGCAGCTGTGGCTACAAAGTAGCTCATTAATGTAGCTTGTGTGGGAGTGTGAATTACTATACTGAAGAACTCTGCTGTGACTTACAAAGCAGAACACAAATGTGCAATACAAACACTAGTCTGAAGTTCAGCTGTAGAAAATCTATATTTCTGTCCTCAAAGAGCAAAAATAATCAGGCTGCAGTTTGCTCCTGAGAAGTGTGTGTGTGTGTGTTTTCGTTCAACTTGACGGTTGCTGATTAAATTTTGACCCCTGTGTTTTCTGAAGCTAATCTGGAACCAGTGGCAACCACAAATGCTTCACAGTTTCTCTCCAACTGGACGTCGTCATCGACTGTGA